TCTCATAGAATTATTTCAACCCCAGTTAAAAGAATTCCCATTGACACACTGTTTTTCTCCCCTTGGCCCTTCCAGATTTCTGCTTTAGATCTACAGTTAAATACATTCAATGATGACCAGCTGTTCAAAAGTCCCAATTTCCTCAGTCCTCTCTTGTTGGGTGGAGTTCATCCTGAAAAAACTCCTCAAGATGGAAGCAGGACTCCCTGAGCGTTGTGTGTGCCACACTCTTTTCTGCTGCCTTGACACAGGGACAGCTGGGTGACTATGAAGTACTTGCCCACGATGACTGTCACTGAGTTTTTATAGGGTATTGTCCCGCATTGTTGTTCTGTTGAGGTGTAGACGTAGATTGATTTTTTCTCTATTGTATGTGAATTGGCTTCTTTGAGGAGCAGAGAGGGGTCTGGAGCTTCGCAGGAAGTTGTTTCCTTTACTTTAAATCTGTCGGTTCCAGGAGGCGAGGTCTTAGTGTTGACCACCCCAGTTCTGTTTCTCCCCGGGATCTAGACTTTCTCTCTGATCCTTTTGCAGCATCTTTTCTTCATTTCTCTTCTGTTTGATGCTTCCATTTCTTTATTCTGTGTCCCTTATAGTATTTTTAGACAAATATGTTGCCCTTATGAACCTTGTCATTTAGCCTATTTTTCAGAGAATTTTCTTTTCCTCCCATTTTCCCCTAATTTCTGCCAAGTCTAATTTCTCATTTTCTGTTTCTTGTCCACTTCTCTTTTGAGTTGTGTATTTCTTATGTGGTTTTGTTTTGTTCGTGTGTACAAATGCTTTGTTGGGCATGTTTAACTCAGATTCATTGTATGTCATTTTAGAGTTTTCCTATGTGTGATTGATCTGGAGAGAAATCCTTTCATGAGCTGAAATTTTTGACTATTTCTGTTCTTCTCTTCTGTCACCTTGGAACACATGTCTGCTGTGTGATTTGCATGTCAACATGCCTAAGTTTTCCTGAACGAGAAACCAATGTTCTATGTAGGAAGGTTGGGTGCTTTGAGTGGCTAAGTTGATTTCTCAGGTCTGGGTCTCTCTCTTTGGGGCGATTCTAACGGACATAAGGTCTGGGGGGATAGGCGTGGCGTGTTCTGATTCTGAGGTCCTATTTTCTTCCAGGAGGACCTTTAATTCATACCAGTTGCTTCAAATAGATTCGCAAACACTGCCAATTCGAATTGAGAACCACAGGGCTTTTACTGAACGTTTGTTTTTCATCTAAATCTCCTCCTCTAACACCAAGCATTGTGCGTTAAGGACACAGGGAGTAGTAGAATTAGAATATCCCACAACGTTTGCTTTTCCCACATTATACAGACACACGAATAAAGATGATAGCAGCAACACCACTAGCAACACGATTGAGAAAAGTAGCTTTTGGTTTTCTTACTGTCCTGGGGTATAGATAAATTATTGTTTTAAAGTCTCGTGGAATAGTTCTAATCCATTTGGTTGTTCTATAACATTTTTGCACAATTAGGTTCATTTGTACATTGTGTTTTCAATGTCTAAAGGCCAAATGTTAAAACTTTAATTCGGTTTTATATGGTTTGCAACTCATATCTAAACAAAGTATATTCCAAATAGTCTAGCCTTGACACTCAGATCTGCAAACTCCTCCACGGCCCGGTGGAGGTGAATCAGGGACTCCTGGTCTCCACAGAGGCTGGAGTCTGTAGCCAGGATTCCTCTCTCTGGCTGAGTTTGGGAGGAAAGGATGAGATTTCCCAGAGTCAGTTTCAAAGCTCAGCCTAACAGCAGTCCTGTGTCCAATGGAGACTCAGGAGCTAGAAATTCTGCATAAGATCTGAACAAGTTAGACTAGAATATGTTAAAATTCTGAATAAAATAGACTATTTGAATAAACTACAGTACTTCCAATTCAGGTCTCGACCTGTCCACCCCAAAACTAAGACACAGTCAGTAATGATCCAGTTAGCGCCATCACAGGTTCTTGTACCTACAATGTCCTCACGAACGGACCATCAGTCCTGTGAACACTCCTCGTGGTCCAGGATGTAGTGGACGCAGCTTCTGCCTTTTACCCTGAAGCCCCGGGGTAACCCTGACGACGGGGTGGCACTGGCTAGGTCGCTGGGTCCCTTGATGGCGATGCAGAGGCCTCCGATGCTGAGCGGCTGGGCAGAGCTGCACGAGGGCCGCAGGGGCACCCCAGGCTCCGGTCACCCTGATATGCCTGTATTGTCCCTGTGGACGGCGCCACTGAGAGAACCCGCCTCCTGTGTCCCCGCCGCCTGAGGAAGAGGCAGAAGAGCGCCGGGACATGGCTGGGAGGCGCAAAGGGCGGCAGAAGCAGAAGGGATGCGGGGACCCAGAGCGGCCGGCGGCACGCGGAGCTCCCTTCCCAAGACGGAACCTTCCTCTCCGGAAAGCAGGAGGGAGGGGGACACAGGGCGGGACACCGCGTCCCCCTCCCTCCGCGTCTAAGGCGCGAGTTCGCTTTCCAGGGGACCCTCTGTCTGCGGGCCGCTGGAGGAAAAGTGGCGGGGGCTCGGCCTGATGGGACAGTCCCGCTGAGATGTGCCCTCGGGTCGCTGGAGGCCGAGTCCTGAGTGCGCGCGGCGAAGGCACCGAGCGGACGCCCGGGGAGCGCACGGCCTTTCCAGTCCCCGCGCCCGGGACCCGCGCCGCCGGGCGCCGCCATCCCCCCTGGCCCAGTGCGGTTCCGCCGCGACGGAGGGGTCGCCCTGACTCCCGTGCTCTCTGCCGTCTCTCTGGGTTCGCACGTCGGGGAACGAGATAAAATCCATCATAGCGACAGGGAAGGGCTTTTAGGCTTCCCCGAAATCCACCTGCTCTGCCTGGATCACTAGAGTTTCCTGCTCTGCGGTAAATTATCTGGCAGGAAAGAAAAAGTTCCTTTCCTTTCCTTTGCAGTTGCCCTCTTCCCACTGCCCTGGGAGCTCTGATGATCCCCAGAACACGACTTGGGACTTGCTAGAAGTGCTTCTCCCTCCTCCTCTTGGCGCCCGCGCACCCCCCGCGTCTTCCTTGCTGTCTCCCTCACCACCCCTTTTCTCCAGCTCCCTCCATCTCCTCTCCTTCCTCCCTGGTACCTCTCCTCCTCCTCCTCCCCCTCCCCCTCCCTCTCCTCCTCCTCCTCCCCCTCCCCCTCCCTCTCCTCCTCTTCCTTCTCATCCCTTACTATTCCTCGCCCGCCCTTCCTCGCTGTCTTCCTCACCACCCATTTTTCCCTCACTCTCTCCATCCTCTCCTCTCCTCCCTCTGCTCCTCTTCCCTCTCCTCCCTGATCCACCGCCCCTGCGCCCCCACCGCACACGCTGTCTAAACCAAGGTAGGAAGGGGCCACCACAGACCACCACAGGCTGAGAGGGCGATGAGGGATACATGTCTCCTTGGTGAGAGCCCTCTGGGGGTTCTTGCTGGAAGACAGAGTGAGGCGGCCCCAGCTGAGTGGCGGAGCGTCCACAGCCAGTCCTCGAGGCCTGGGGAGGACGGGCTGATCCAAGGTGACCCCGTGCCTGGGGTGACCCCTATTTAAATAGGCAGCCTCTGAGGGACATTGAAACCAGTGGGAGACCTTGTCCTCGGCCAGCCTTTCCGGTGGAAAGCCCACGGCGCCAAGCGGTGTGGCCTCCGCAGGGACGGCGTGCTGGGATTCGCCTCGCCCAGGATGCTGCAAGGGCTGGTCCAAAGAAAACCCATCCTAGCGCCCCATTTAGACGGAGAAGTCCGCTTGGACAGAGGGGCTCACCAGAGACTGTCTCCAACTGCCCTCCTGGCGCTGTTGGGAGCTTGGTCTCCAGACCGGGGCGCTGCCGACTCCCGGGTACGGGAACCTCCGGCGGAGTCTCAGTGCCTCTGACTGCTGAATCGTCCTCCTGTGGCGCGCCAAGAGCCGCCTTGCCCAAGGGAGAGCTCCCAGTCCAAAGGCAAAATCACACGGAATTGCCGGCTTCTATCTGAGACAGACAGCCCTCCTCTACTGTGAATGGGATTCGGGATTCGAACGGAAGCTGCCAGAGCCCCTACACCTCGCGCCGTGAGCACAGCGCCACCCACGACCTGCGGCGGTGTGGTTGGGTGTACCCAGGTGACAGGTTTTCTTCTGGGCTCTTTCCGTAGTGGCTGTATCTGCATCTCTGTCTCTGTTCTCTCTCTCCCCCGTCACTTTCCCTCCCTCACCTTCTTTCTCCTCTTCAATTTCCGGGTTCACCCCCACTCGCGCCCACCGGCATCCCCCAGACTGAGGCCCTGCAGGGTCCTGGGTGGGAGCTCAGTGCGGTTGCAGGTGGTGCCCTCTAGATGTTTCTGCAGTCGGAACATTTCTATGATTCAGCTGCCAGCATTAAAGTTTTAAACAACGGCCACTTTGGAAAGCCTTTCCCATCCTCCTGTCCCGGGTTCCTCTAGGACTAAAAACACGTAGTCCACAGTGAAATGCTTGGTCCCTCCCGGCACCCTGTGGCGAATGCCTTCCTTAACTGAGCATGTATTGGGTGCCAGGCCCCCTCCAGGCGAGGGCTGCATGGTGAGCAAACTCCAGTCCCTGCCCCGTGGAGCTGTCCTCTGGAGGCCAGGAGAGGGCGACAGCGCTTTGGCGGCACAGCCCGCTGGTGTCCTTCCCACGTGTGTCTTCCCCTTCCCCGGGCCTGGGGGAATCCAGGTGAGCGTGACAGGTGAAGTGCAGGGAAGAATGGCAAATGAATGACTTGGCGCAAGAGGCTGTGGTCTCACCTGAAGCGAGGCGGCTTCAGAGGTGGTGCTTTGACCTTTCAGGCAGCAACCTCATCCTTTGTCTCTCACTTCCTGCCCTCGCTCTCCCTTGCTCCGTGGGCGCAGGTGGGGCAGCGGCCGGATCTCAGCCCTGAATAGTCACCGAGTTCTGCTCTGCGCGGTGTTTTCTCCTGGTCCTTATCAGATGCCATTGGTCTCTCTGCAACATTTGGGGCACCGAAGCCAACTTGACCTGCCTGATGCAAACATCTGGATTCCAGGGGAACTACCAGGGCCAGTGGCTGAAGGCACAAGCATCGAATCACCAGCTCTTCAGACTCCAGGTTGGTGCCACTCAACACTAGTATTAACCACACCATTACAGGATGCCACCCACACGTAGATTTGTGGGTGTGGCATCCTTACTTTTGTTTTTTAATTAATAGACATTTTTTATTGAGGTAACGGTTTATAATATTGCATAATTTAAGATATACATCATTATATTTCGATTTCAGTGTACACTACATCATATTCACCACCCAAAGACTAACTACCATCTTTCACCCTACACATGTGGCCTATTACTCCTTTCTCCCTCCTCCCCTCTGGTAATCATACAGTATTTGACTTTCTCTGTCTGACTTATTTGCTAAGTATAATACCCTCAGGTTCCGTCCATGTTATCACAAATGGCAAGATTGCATCATTTTTTACAGCTGAGTAGTATTCCATTGTGTATATCTATACCACATCTTTACCCATTCATCCATTGATGGGCGCTTAGGTTGTTTCCACGTCTTGGCTATTGTGAATAATGCTGCAATGAACATAGGGGTATAAATATCTTTTTGCATTTGTGTTTTCATGTTCTTTGGATAAATACCAAGAAATGGAGTGGCTGGATCATATGGTAGTTCTATTCTTAATTGTTTTAGGAACCTCCATGCTTTTTCATGGTGGCTACACCAGTTTACATTCCCACCAGCAGTGGTGAGGGTTCCCTTTGTTCCACTCCTCTCCAATACTTGTTATTTCTTGTCTTAATTACAGCCATTCTGACGAGTGTGAGGTGGTATCTCATTGCAGTTTTGTTTGCATTTCCTTAATAATTAGCAATGTTGAACATCTTGTCAAGTCCTTTCGACGTCTGTGTTTCTTCTTTAGAAAAATATCTGTTCCAATCCTTTGCCCACTTTTTAATTGCTTGTTTGTTTTTCTGTGTTTGAGTGTATGAGTTCTTTATATATTTTGGATAGTAACCTCATATCAGATCTAGGATTTGCAAATATCCTCTCCCAGTTAGTGGCTTGTCTGTTTGTTTTGTTGATGGTTTCCTTTGCTGTGCAGAAGTTTTTTAGTTTGGTCCCATTTGTTCATTTTTTCTTTTGTTTCCCTTGCTTGGTCAGACACGCTATTCAAAAAGATACTGCTAAGTTTGATGTCAAAGAGTGTACTGCCTAGGTTTTCTTCTAGAAGTTTTATGGCTTCAGGTCTTACATTCAAGCCTTTAATCCATTCTGTGTTAATTTTTGTGCATGGTGTAAGATAATGGTCTGCTTTCATTCTTTTGCATGTGGCTGTTCAGTTCTCCCAACACCATTTATTGAAGAGACTTTCCTTTCTCCATTGTATTTTCTTGGCTCTCTTATTGAAAAGTAGCTGTCCATAGATGTGGCAGGTTTATTTCTGGGATCTCAGTTCTGTCCCATTGATCTGTGTGCTGCTTTTGTGTCAGTATCAGCTGTTTTGATTACTATATCTTTGTAGTATATTTTGAAAGCGGGGCATGGGACACCTTCAGCATCATTCTTTTTTCTCAAGATTCTTTTGGCTATTCAGGGTTTTACATTGTTCTCTATAAATTTTGGTATTCTTTGTTCTATTTCTGTAAAAAGTGTCATTGGGACTTTGATAGGGATTGCATTGAATCTGTGGATTGCTTCAGGAAGTATGGATATTATAACTATGTTAATTCTTCCAATCCATGAGCATGGAATTTCTTTGCATTTCTTTATGTCTTCTTTGATTTCTTTGAACAATGTATTATAGTTTTCACTGTCTAGGTCTTTCACCCTTTTGGTTAAATTTATTCCTAGCTATTTTATTCTTTTTGTTGCAATTGTAAATGGGATTGTATTCTTAATTTCTCTTTCTGCTATTTCATTGTTAGTGTATAGAAACACAACTGATTTTTGTCTGTTGCTCTTTACCCTGCAGCTTTCTATATAGACGTTACTTTTAGAACAGTTTTGTGTTGACAGATAAATTGAGCAGATAGTATAGAGTTCTCACATAGCCCCTGTTCTCCCTCACACAATTTCCACATGATGGCATCTTGCATTATTGTGGTACACTTGTTACAATTGATGAACCAATATTGATACTTTATTATTAACTAAAGCCCATAGTTTACATTAGAGTTCATTCTTTGTGTCCACAGTTCTATGGGTTTGACAGATGCATCGTGTCACAATCCCCCAGCACAGTGTCATACAGAATAGTCTCACTGCTCACCAGTCCCGGCGCTTCCCTCCTCTCCTCCTCACAAACCCACGGCAACCACAGACCTTTCCACTGTCTCTGTGATTTTGCCTTTTCCGGAATGTCCTATAGTTGGCATCATACAGTGTGTAGACTTTTCAGACTGGCTTTGTTCACTTAACACTATGTGTTTAAGGTTCCTCCACGTCATTACGGCTTGATGGCTGTTTCTTTCTATTGCTGAACACCATTCCATTGTACAGATGTACCTCAGCTTGTTTATCCAGTCACCTAAGGAAGGACATCTCGGTCCCTTCCACTTTTTGAAATTATGAAGAAAGCTGCTATAAGCACTCATCAGCAGATTTTTTTTTAAAGATTTTATTTTTTTCCTTTTCTCCCCAAAGCCTCCGAGTACATAGTTGTATATTCTTCGTTGAGGGCCCTTCTAGTTGTGGCATGTGGGACGCTGCCTCAGTGTGGCTTGATGAGCGGTGCCATGTCCGCGCCCAGGATTCGAACCGATGAAACACTGCAGTGGAGCGTGCGAACTTAACCACTCGGCCACGGGGCCAGCCCCACTCATCTGCAGATTTTTGTATGAACATAACTTTTCATCTCATTTGGGGAAATACCAAGGACTGTGATGTTGGATCAAATGTAAGAGTATGTTTAGTTTTGTAAGAAACTGCCAAACTGTCTTCTAAAGTGGCTGTGCCATTTTTGTGTTCCCATCACTAAGAATGAGAGTCCTATTGATCCAATCCTTGCCGACATTTGGTGTTATCAGTGCTTTGAATTTTAGTCATTCTAATGGGTATAGAGAGATATCTCACTGTCGTTTTAATTTGCAGTTCCCTAATGACAAATGACTTTATGCATCTTTCAGAGGTTTCTTTGCCATCTGTATTTCTTTTTTTGGTGAATGCTTTTTAGATCTTTTGTCCATTTTTTAATTGGGAAGTTAGCTGTCTCATTGTTGAGTTTTAAGAGTTCTTTGTATATTTAGGATACCAGTCCTTCATCAGATATGTGTTTTGCAAAGATTTTCTCCCAGTCTGTGGCTTGCCTTTAATTAGCTTAACAGTGTCTTTCACAGAGCAGAAGTTTTTAATTTTAATGAAGTCCAACTTATCAATTTTTTCTTTCATGGATTGTGCTTTTAGCGTTATATCAAAAAAGTATCACCAAACCCAAAGCACCTAGATATCCTTCCATGTTATCTTCTATAATTTTTGTGGTTTTTACACCTTAGTTTAGGACTATAATCCACCTTGTGAAAGGAAGAAGGTCTCTGTCTGGATTCTTTTTTTTTCAATGTAGGTGTCCAGTTGCTCCAGCATCATTTGTGGAAGAGACTATCATTATCTTTCTCCATTGAATTGCTTTTGCTCCTTTGCAAACATTAATTGACTGCATTTATGTAGATCTATTTCTGATTTTGTTCCATTGACCTATTTTCTGTGTTTTCACCAGTTCCACACTGTTTGGATAACTGTAGCTTTCTAGCAGGTCTGGAAGTTGCTAGTGTCAGTCCTTTGGAGGTTTTTCTGATCTCCATCCTAAGAACCTGCTCAAGCACCTGCAGATAAAACTCACAGAAGTGTGGGGACTCACCCCCAAGTCTGGGCCCCCAGGAGTTTTAAACTCTCAACTATTCCACACTCAGCAGCCAGCAATTGGTCAGTTACCATTTAAGTGTCCCTAACAGTTGCTGGCTCCAGCAGCTCTGTTCCCAATGAGCTGTCATTCTCTGCATTAGCCTGTCTCGCTAGTGTTTGGGTGGCATCTCCTTGACTTCTCAAAATAAAAAATATTAGCTTAGGAAACTTAGGAAGTCACCCAATTTTTCCTAAGACTTTCTAAAAAAGACAGATCTTTGAAATGCAATGCTTATCAGTTGCATAATAAAAGCTCTCCCCCAAAATAGGAAAATACTAGGAAGAAACGGTTGATTCTATTATTGGGAGAGGGAGGTAAATATTTCTTACAGAACTCGTTAACTCTAGGGTAGGAATGATGTCAAAGATTTTAATCATCAGAGGGGTTTGTACTGAATGGAAGGTTCCCAAATTGCCATCCAAAGGTTGCAGCAGGTCATGACACATTCCTGTGGTTGGCAACAACAAAAAAATATAAGAATGAAAGTGTGGCTTTTCCTTGAAACTAATATATTCAAGCTAAAGAACTATAATTAGTCTGCGATTGTGTCCTTTCTATTTTGTTGTCATTGAAATATCTTTCATGTGAATGATATTGATAATAGATGTTTGATTTTTGCTTTTTAACCTCTAGTTGGCTAATTTTAAAATTTTGTAACTTTATGTTGTTTCCCAGGAAGGAAATGAACTTGATGATAAGTTCTAAGTCTAGGATTCTGTGTTGAGCCTAGGCTCTCCCTGAGAAAACTGAAGTTCTCATCTCCTTTGGGCAAAGAATGTGGACAGAGGACACCGCTGGGCTTTCCTCATAAAGGACTCAGCAGCAATCCTCAGAGAGTTTGAAAAACAAGCCCAGGATCCCCACATAGCAGTGAATATTTCATTCCAGGCAGTCGAGGAAGAAGCGAGGAGTAAGAGAAAGCTCCTATACCCCTGTGGAAGGAGAATTCAGGGGCTGTGATCAAGTCGATGATTAAGTCTCCCATCCCTTTCTCTTTGGGGTTTAATGCTCGAAGGGGAATAAAAAGTGATCATTAGGACAATGAGTTTCTGCATCTCGGTTTTATCTTTTCAATGACGATGACCAGATTGTGTTCTCTGCTATTTTTCTTCCTAGCCAGGAGAGGGGTCAGTGCCCATGAGTCGCTTTCTTAGGAGCAGCAATTCCTTTCTGTTAGTGGTTCAATGGAGAAGAGGTA